GTCGTCTATTGTATGTAAAGATGACGCTTTTTATAAAAACCGTCGTCTATTGTATGTAAAGATGACGCTTTTTATAAAAACCGTCGTCTATTGTATGTAAAGATGACGCTTTTTATAAAAACCGTCGTCTATTGTATGTAAAGATGACGCTTTTTATAAAAAAAGGTCGTCTATTGTATGTAAAGATGACGTCTTTATAAACAATCCACGACGGTTTTCATAAAAAAATCGTCATCTTTACATACAATACACGACGGTTTTATTAAAAACAGTCGTCTTTCCTCCTATAATTAACGATCTTTACCTCTAAACAACGACGATTTTCTTTAAAAACCGTCATCTTTACTGATAAACAACGACGGTGAAAAGCCGTCGTAGTTTGAAACCCAAATAGACGGCAGTCGATTTCACGACCGGGCGAAAACCTTTTACACGACGGTGGTTTCCCGTCGTCTATTTCGATTTTTGTAGTAGTGCACCCACCTTGGCGGATGGTCGGCAGATGGTTAGCCAGCTCTAGAATTCTAAAAACTCAAGGGGCACGAGGTTTCACCAGATGTCAAGGTGAAATCTCGGAGGTCAAGACCCAAGCCACAGATTCATGCCCAAGATTTCAGGAGGTCAATGTGCATGTGATGAAGGCCTCACAAGGAAACAAATCACGGAAATTGATGATAGTTCAGCATATTCCAAAACATGAGAGAATCAAGTAATCAGAATATTTCCACCAATGTGATCCCACGAATTCAAGGGGCTTCAAAAGGAAAGAGTTTTAAAAGAGTTGACATTTGTCCATTCAATGTCCAGCCCATGGGCTACGGATTTTCTATATAAACCTCACCAAACGAAGGTAGAAGAGATACAACATCAGATAGATAAACCTATTTTTCGTCTCGCACTTTTCTTTTCCTAGACTTAAGATTTTACTTTTCATGCACCTAGTGTAGCGAGTTCTTCCTTTTCTTAGTGTAAGTTTAAATTATCGTTCAATTTATATTTTCTTGTCATTTAAATTCAAGTTTATTTCAATTGCTTTACTTTTCATTGTTATCGCACTTCAATTAAGTTTAATTTCAAGTTCATTTTACTTTATCGTTCTTATTGCTTTCATTTCATTCTTGCTTTATTTATCGCTTTGATTCATTTAATTGCACTTTAATTCTCGTCTTTACGTTATTTATCTTTTGCACTTTACTTTACGCATTTGTCTTTAAATTATATTTAAGTTTAAGCACCTTTACTTTACGCACTTATTCTTAGTTTCATTACATTTCACTTTCAATCTTCATCTCCACCCATTCTACATCATTTGGTCGCTCACATAAAGCCTTGACCCCGAGGTAGTGAAAGAACCTAGGCCGTGAGGAGGTTCCTTGCTTGGCCGAACAATCGTTTGATTAAAGTCAGATCTCAGACGTAACACATCCATCTACTCACATTCCATTCAAGCCTAAATTTGGGGCTTGGTGGTGGCACACCTCGCACTCAAAAAAGAAGAATGACCAAAAGTTCATTCCGTCGGCCGCCTTGGCCGAAAAGAGGGAAACAACTATATCAGATATATGTACATAATATACTACAAATATAAAACAAAAGAGGTGAAACATTCAAAATACCAGAAAATGCCTTTTGTTAATCCAAACTTTAAAATTAAAATTAATAATTAAATAAGGATAATATGGTAAATTCACACCTTTTCATATTAAAAAAAATTAAAATTAAAAAAAAAATAAGATAATGAATCCTATTTTTATGGAACACAACTACCCATTATTATTTTGAATTCTAAAATAAATTTAATTTTTTTTATAAAAAAAAGCCTCTCGCAAGTGCTGAAGAGCGTACGGCAAGGCTAGTGTACTACAAAAGAGACGTTGGTGGGCTTTAAATGCAGCAAATACATCAGTTCAGAAAATCAGCCCATATTAATCGAAACTAACTCCTATTACTAAAGGTAATTTAAGCAATTATTGAATTATATTTAAAAAATAAAAATAAACATACCAATTTCAACAAAAAAAGAAAGAGAACTATTGGCAAAAAAAAAAAAAACTAAAGTCCCAGGCGTGAGTTCTTGTTTCCCAGGTCAGGCGTCAAACGCGTAATTTTTCTTACAGAGCTAGCTGTCTGTCTCATGACTTGTTTACATTTGTGGACAAAGTGTTTCGGTATTTTTTCCCCATGTATCATATTGTGTGCTTTTTCTAACTGAGTCATTTTGTTGTTGTTAAATTTTCTCCTTCAATTGCGTGTGAAGTTAGTGTGATATCCTTTCATACCATCTCCAATTGATTGGCACAAAGCTAGTCTCCAAGTCCAAGCCAATGTCATCGAGCTCTTTGGCTGCCAGTTCATCTGTTGCTCTAGATCTTCCGTGGAAATATGATGTATTTTTGAGTTTTAGGGGTGAAGATACACGCTACAATTTTACAGCTTATTTACATGAAAGATTGCTAGAGCAAGGAATTACAAAAATTTTCTTGGATGAAAAGGACCTTGAAATAGGAAGACCGGTTGCTGAACTCTTCGCAGCGATTGAACAGTCGAGACTTGCAATCGTTGTGATGTCTCCAAAATACGCTTCTTCAAAATGGTGCATGAATGAACTTTTGAAGATTCTTGAATGCATGGAAAAGAGAGGGGCAGTTCTGCCAATTTTTCACTCTGTGGAGCCCTCCGATGTTGGGAAGCAATCGGGGAACTTTGGGGAAGCCTTCACTGAACTTGAGCAAAGGTGCAAGGATGAAAAGGAGATGGTGGAACGATGGAGAGCTGCTTTAAGAATAGCGGCAAAAATCAAAGGGTGGACTTCAAAGAATAGGTTGGTTGGTGTTACTTGTTTCTTTCCCTCAATTCAAAACTTTTTACGAATGAACAAATTGACCCTTCATTCTTACTTTAGTAAATTTGGCTTACACCCTTCAAATTCAATTTGCTGTACCTAAAACCCTTCACTTTTTGTTCCTATAAATAATACCCAATTTGTATAAGTAAAAACCCATGACTAGGATTCAACTCAGCAAGTTACCTAATTAAGCATAAAATCTGATTTATTGTACTTTTTAGATTCCAAAAATACCCCAAACTAAGTCATTATTGCATTTTGTATATTAATGTAGGAATCAATATGGAAACAGTTTTTAATTGAATTGTATATAATGACATATGTTGAATTTGGAAAGATCTCCAAATGGTTGTAATGGATGTAGGAATTAATTTTGAAACATTTTTTAAAAAAATTTAACAATAAATTCAAATTTGGGTAATCGGTTTGTTTAATAAAATGTTTATGTTATTTTCTTTTTATGAATTATACATGACTAATAATCCACTTTATAATTGTTTATGAATAAAACTATACATACTAATTATGTTGAAAAAATAATGTACCTATTACTTGTTTGTTT